AGCACAGCCCTCCCGGCCGGGGGCCTCCTGCGCAGGGAGCATGGGGAGGGGCGGGACAGGATTCGTGTCACCCAGCAGTGCCGGCCCCGCCAGTCAGGCCAGGTGACCGCTCTCGGGCCTCTATCACCAGAGGAAGTTTCAGGTGGTTGTTCCGCCTTCACTCGCATGTTTACATGAGGCATCAATTAAGAGCATGTCTACATGCACGTTCTCTTTTAAAATAAAAAGGATAAACCCAAACTGAGGAAACCCAACGCTAACTGAAAATGTGACGACAGCGTTCGAGTGTTTTCCATGATATTTGGGTGCGACAGTGGGACGCAGTTAGTTTTTTTCAGTGTCCTTATCTTTTAGAAAAGTGACTAGAATACTTAGGGATGAGATGGCATGACACCTGAGATTCCTCTCAGACCAGCTTGCGGGGGGGGAACGACGACACAAAATACAAGCCGTGAGCTGACCATCACTGAGGCCAGACCATGGCACACAGGGACTCAGCATCCTCTTCTTCCCACTTTTATGTTTCAGATGTTCAACATTTCAGGTTAAATAAAATGTTTTAAGTTTGCCGTTAACGTCACTACCCGACAAAATAAACCCCCAGCACCTGGTCAGCGCAATACATTCAGGACACAAGGAACGCCAACAACTTACCATTCAGATTTGAGGGTGAAGTTTGTCTCCAGATACGTCTCCCGCCCCGGGTCCCACTGACAGGTCATTCTCTTCCCTTCGTTCACGATGCAACTCAAGTTCTTAGGTTTTTCTGGAGGCACTAAAAGGGACAAGGGAGAACTTTCAAAAAGCTTTACATCCACAAACATGCAATTCATGTCCTGCCCAAGAAGTTTACCCCCTCAACTACGAGGAGAAAGTGCCCACGCAAAAGTGTGGACATAGCGAGAGACTGGTGTCCGAAAAGTTAATTCCTTTTCTATTTAAACTCAGACTTCTTTCTAGATAGTAACACACCTTTTCTATCATAACCATCAGTGACTAGTATGTTCATATTCAGTTTGCACACCTAACCAACGTTCATTTACGACTAAATAACAGCATTCTCCACTCAGTGCCGTGTAAAGAGGAGCATTTGCATATTAGTCAGAGGAAACTAAGTGGAAACCGTGATTCATCTCTATTCTCTTCCTGTTGCCGTTCTGATCTCTGCTGGGAGCAGAGCACACGGCAGCACAGCTCGGGGTGACAGCTCTGGTCCTGGCTCGGTCCTGCCCGCTTATCTGCTTTGACACAGAAAGACTTTCTCCCGCATTTACTCCCCTTCTCGGGGCTGCTCAGCGCGCGTTTCCTTAGAGATGAAGGCACCAAGTAACTGCGAGTGACTCTGATCAATTCACAGATTTCAGTCCAACAATTCTTTTGGGGGGGGTGGAGGGGCGTCTCATGTCAAAAGACTTTTCTATAAAATGGACAGATCCTTGGCTTTCAGGGAAAAGGTACAACTCTGTTTCTGAGGTTTGTCTGCATATTAGAGGTGAAATTGTAGTTCCACTTCTAAGCTTATTTTTAAAAACAAATGTGTCCAAAAGCCACTGGCCCGGCGAGTCCCTGCAGCTCCTGGAGAGGAACACACGACACTGAAAACGCAATTCACAGTCACAGCCGAGCCTGGAAGGGACTCGGGAACTTACGGCCGGAAACGATGCTGATCCCATACACGTTCTGATCGATCTGCCCGAACGTGCGGATGTTGCAGGTGAGCTGGGTGTTTAACAGGGAGAAGTCTGGGAAGGTGACGCTCGACGCCGTGCTGTTGATGACAGTGTACTGCTCGCGAGGCACCGTCACGTGGTTTGTCTTCCAGAAGATGTAGTCAGCGTTGACGTGTAAATAATCCATACATTTTTCCTTGAGCACACAGACCGCAGTGAAATTAGAACCAAGCTGCACAACCGGAGACTCAGGGTCGATATAGCCGCAAATATCCAGAAGTTCCCCTGAAAAGAACAGAGGAACATGTGGCGTGGACTGCGTTTTACTGGCCGTGGCCTGGCCTGTTGCACGTGCCTCCCGCAGGCCCCAGCGCGGGCGGCGTCAGTCCCTCGAACCCTCCAGCTGGTGAAACTGCGCCTGTGGGGACTGAGCCACCCTGTGACCTGGGCCAGCCGTGCTCCCTAACCCACACTTCACTCCCGAGGAAACCCCTCCGAACGCTTCCTTGAAATTAAGGGAACAGCAAAGATAAGGTTAATTTAGAGAATTAAAGAACAAGATGTAACCAAAGAGTTGACGATTTTTCTCCACACAGAACAGGAGAAAAACGAGAAATGGGCAAGTGTTCAAGCTTTCAGAGAGAAACACGGGCTCATTAGAACGAGCCCGTCCCACCTCAGCCCCGTTCTCACAGGCCGCCAGCTCCTGCAGACTGAAGTGTAGAAGCAATTTCATTTAAAAGGGCATTGACACCGCGAGCTGGGTGCCCGAGGGGGAGATGGGAATGTGGGGTAGAACACGCAGCGGCAAGCATTAGAGGGAACACGAGGGAACCCGGCCTTCGGCTGTGGCAGGTTCGAACGGGTGAAGGCTGAGATGGCTGCTGACTCGGGGTCGGAGGGGTGAGCGGTCCTTCCAGGGCAGCCGCCCTCCTCCCCCCTCAGGTCTGCGGTGCCTACGCCGGCCCTGCCGCCCCGTGTGCCACGTGACCTCAAGGCCGGGCCATGAAAACATACAACTTCCAATCAAGCGCTCCTCTCCTCCTGGTCTGCCCTGGAGCCCAGCCGGAGGCGAGGTGCCAAGGCCCATGGAGAGACATGTGGGTGCCCTGGCGACAGCCCCGCCACGGCCTCGCCCGCAGCATCAGGCAGAGCCTTTGCACGGGGAGGCCCCAGGAATCGTGTGGAGGCGAACCCGCCTGGCTGTCCGCCTGACCCACGAAAACCACCAGGAAGAACCGTTTCTGTCCTTTTAGGCCACGAAGTCTTGGAGTAATTTGCGAGGCAGCAACACTTTATTTTATGTTATTATTTTTATTTCAGAGGGGAAGGGAGAGAGAGAGAGGGAAACACCAATGATGAGAGCGAGTCACTGATGGCGGCCTCCTGCACGCCCTCCTGGGGATCAGCCCACAGCCGGGCATCGAGTGTGACCTCCTGGCTCTCAGGCCCAGCTCCCTCTGTGGGGAAGGACAGTGGGGCTCCCCCACCCGTCGTGCGCGGGTGGCTAACTTTTGTTCTGCACTATGTTCCATGAGACAAGTTCGACGATTACACGCCTGGACATCACGGTCATGTCAAACATTAACGGTCTGTAAACATCTGTCCCTGACTCTGCGCTGTCTCCCCGTGGACGGCCGGCGGCCAGCGGCCAGCGCGCAGACAGGCACTGCTGTGGCCGTGGAGGCTCTGCGCCCAGCGACCCTCCCGGCGCCAGTCCCCCCGCAGCTCAGTGGCCTCACATCAGGCGAAGCGCTGACAGCCAGCAGGTCTCCTGGTTCTTTATTTAAAACGCAACCTCCCTTCCCCACCGGCAGCCATGGTCACTAAGCTACACAGCACCCTGCTTCTCACCATCACTGAGACAACCTTCTCTCAGCACCGACTCCAGAGAGAATGAGTGTGGAGCCGGCGCTGTCACTGTATCTATGAATGGAACTGCGGACCCTGGGCGGGAGGGAGGCCCTGGGGAACCTTACCCAGGCATGTGGCGGTGAGGAGCAGCAGCAGGGTGGGCAGCGTCCGCGTCCGCAGGGCCGACATCTTGCGGGGACGAGTCTGCAGGAGGCACAGGAACGTCACGGCTCACACTTCCCTTCGTGGCATTTCCAGCGTCTCCGCTCCGGAGGCTGCTCTACAGAAAGGGGTGCGTTCTCAGGGGTGCAGAACGGAGCCAGTCTCCCGAGGGCTTCTGTGCATCCCACGCGGTTACGGCCACATCAATGCGGCGCCAGCCCGGCCAGTGTGGCTCAGAGGGTGAGCGTTGACCCCGGCTCCCAGAGGTGACCTGTTCGCTTCCCGTCAGGGCACAGGCCTGGGCTGCAGGCTCGATCCCCAGTGGGGGGCCTGCAGGGGCAGCCGATTAATGATGCTTCTCTCTCATCGTTTCTATCTCTCTCTCTCCCTTACTCTCCCCCTAAAAAATCAATAAGAATATATTTAAAAATACAACTGGAAACAGTTTCACTTTAAGGTGAATGAGAAGGCGCTGTTTCTTTAGTCACCTCGTGTGGGTGAGTCGGACCTGAGTGACGCCGGGGCACGGAGACGGTGACTCAGCCTCGCAGGGCCACCGGGCCGCTGGCGCCACCTTCCCACAGCCGACAGCTCAGCCTGAACGTCACCGTTTGTTACTCAAAACAACACCTGCCCGACAAGGGGACGGGCAGCCGAGAGCAGTTCAGCGGCACCGACCACGGCTGGAGCACAGACGCCTGAGCCTGACGCTTCGACTTCTCGAATTTCACCCGACAGATGTGAGCAAACAACACGCGGACCAGTTACTCACGACAGCACTGCTTTCACAGGGAGAGACTGGAGCGACCGGAAGTCCTGCAGGGGCCCCGTGAAGTCACGGCACACCCAGCCCAGGGCACACGCAGCCACAGGAAAGGGCCTTCACACACAGGCGTGTCAGCGCTCACAACACATGAAGTCACGGCACACCCGGCCCAGGGCAGACCCGGCCCAGGGCGGACCCGGCCCAGGGCACACCCGGCACAGGGCAGACCCGGCACAGGGCAGACCTAGCACAGGGCACACTCGGCCCAGGGCACACCCGGCACAGGGCAGACGTTCTCTCCCAATTATACGATGCCTCTGGCCTCAGCTTCCCAGCTCTGCGTCCACAGGAGCAGCGCCCCGGCCATCGCACCCGCCACGCAACGGGCCTCCCTCGCACAACACTACTCGACCACGAGCGGCTCTGACCGCCAGGTGAAGGCAGAGGCCATTTCCCTCCACCTGGTTCCGTCCTTCCTCCCCATGGGAACCAGTCCCACATGAGAAACCCCACTTCACACGTGTTCCTGGAACCGCAGGACATGTGAGCAGGTTGCCGGGCGTCCTGCCCGCCCCCCCCCCAGCACTGTCCCCACGACAGAGGGGCTCCCTGGGGTTGCGGGGATGGTGGCCTTCCTGTGGGCGGGCGCTCTTCCGAAAGGACCGCGGGCGCTACAGAGCCATCACGCTCCCCTGAGCAGCGACACGCTTTCCACTTCTGAACGGACGGCCATCGGGATGTGAGGGGACGAAGGGACAGCTCTCAGCAACGTGACGCCACCGTCCACCCCGACAGGGGGACACGCAGCACCCTAACACGTTCCCGGGGGCAGTGCACCCACTGCGTGCGTTGGGACCTGCTGTACAGGGACGAGCGGCCAGGACTCTGCTCATTTCTCCTGCGTGCGCCCTGGGACGGCGACTGTCCATCTGGAATGGCCATGCACGCCCCTCTCCGCCTCCCCTGCAGGTCGTCTCTGTAGTTATAACCACGGCTGGCGGCACACGCGGCTCCGAGACCCGCTCGCTCTCGGAAGCTGCTCTGAAGCTGAAGCTGCCTCCTGACGCCCAGGGCAGGTCTGCGCCCAGCACTCGGCAGCCCAGGCCCCGCGGTGGGAGCTGGAGACACAGCACCTTGGAAAGGACTAACACATAAGAAACTACATTTATAACAAGGATGTGCTAAAGATGCTAAGGAAATACATATTTTTAAATGTTCAAATAAAAAGAAATTTAAAAACGTCAAGTGAAAATCCTCTATATTCCCACCAAGATTACAACTAATTTTGTGGATAATCTTGCAAATTTTTCGCTTTTTTTACTTTTCAGTTCTGCGTCGCTACAGCTGTTTTGGTCTGGGGGAAACACCAAACAACATAAAAAATCCACCCTCCCTCCCACCCCTGCCCTGCGGCTCCACCAGCTCCTTCTCTGAGTCCGTCTTGTCTTGTTTATCCACTTACTCTCTTATATTCACACGCAAGGGCGAGCCTACGGTCTTCTTCTCACTTCACTGGGCATCATGCCCTCCAGGCCCATCTCCGCTGTCACAATGGCAGCTCTCATCCCTGTTCATCGCTGAGCCACACGCCCTGTCTACATCCCGCACCTTCTCAGCCATCGCTACTGACAGGCACCTGGCGGCCGCTCCCAGGTCTTGGCTTTTGTAAGTAACGCTGCCCTGAACGCAGGGGGCGTGTACGAGCATCTTGTAAATTTCCTCTGTGCATAACTTCATGTTACGGAAACACGTACTTTCTTATTTGACAAAGACGGGATCACGACCATGTTCTGTAACTTGCTTTCTTCACTAAACACTACCTATTGGGCTTTCTAAGTCAATATATGAGCCTTTGTTCGAACTCACTTCTCACGCAGGTCTTCCCTGACCAGCCTGTGCTGCTCGCCTCCCCCCCCCCCCCCCCCCCAGCCCTGAGCACCGTATAATACGCGGGCGGGCAGGTCCCATAAAGGGCCAGACAGCACACAATTCAGGCTTCGAGGGCCTCCCCGCTCCTGCGACCAGTCCCTCGGGCCCTGCAGCGCTCACGGTGTAAACACATGGGCACGGCTGGGTTCCAACAAGACTTCATTTGCCAAAACTCACTTGAACTAGTTCACAGACCTACATGTAAAGCCTAAAACCTCGGGCGAGAAAACACAGGAGAAAACCTCTGAGGAGTTGGTTCGGCAAAGACTCTTAGACACGACAGGACTGGTAAGTTAGGCTTCGTTAAAATGAAAGCTGCTGCTCTTTGAAAACACTGGTGAGAGAATAAAAAGGCCGGCCACAGACTGGGAGGAAATACTTACAAGTCAATTTCCCAATAAAGACCTATTCCAGAATGTATTTTTAAAACTAGGAAAACATAATGAGAAAATAAACCTCATTAAAAGGTGAGCAAAATATGTGAACAGACACATCACTGAAGGAGGGAACGGCTAAACAAAACAAGTACCACGTCCTTGGCTATTCCACCCCTAGGTACTTTCCAAGAGAAACGAAAGCTACATCCAAGCAAAGACGTGGGCCTGGTCACACTACAGTCTATTGTGCACCGATACACCATGGCCCTCTCACCGCAGGGAAGCCGGCTCGTTCACGCAGCAAACACATGGAGTGCTCCCCACGCCGGTGTGATTCCGGATCTGGGAATAGAGAGGGAACCAAGCGTCTTGACGCATCACCCCTTGCAGCCCCATGTCCAATCAGGGCCCGGCCTGGGTGCTGGGGTGAGGAGTTCATCGTGAAGCGCTTAGACCCCTCCCGGCTCAGAGCGCACACTCGGGAGACAGCCCCTCCCCGTGCGGCCACCGAGCACTTGCTGCTGCTGCAGAGCATTTCCCGGAGACTGCGGTCAACTTCCTATTGAAAGGCCAGGGTTCAAGGGAGATGCCGGGAGTTGTCGATCATTCAACACAGTTCTGGGGGCAGCTTAATAAAAAAAAATAATAAGCAAATAAATAAGATAAAAACAGGAAAATAAAAACTTGCAGGTGATAGGATCATCTATCAAGAAAAAGAGTAAGAATCCAATGCCAGGCTGTAAGGACTAGTGCAAGTTTAATCTAATCACTGAATAAAAGATCATAAAAAAATACAGTTTTCCTAGACATCGATAATGAGCAATCAAAATGTAACAGAAAAACCCCTATTCACAGCAGCACCCAAGACTCTAATGTGCCGAGGAAAACCCTAGCCAGACCACGCGACAACTCCGTGACGAACGCCATGAACCTCCTGCGCCTCCCCGAGGGCCCTCGGTGTCAGGGGGTGGGAGGGACATACAGAGCAGGACAGCCTTCTCCCCAGTTTCCAGTTCAGGCAACGAGGCCCGAATCCAAGCTGCAGAGTGGCTGCGGGATTTCACAGACCAACGAAGATTTCATAGCAAATGTTAGAGAACAGCCAAAAGCCAGCTCTCAAAAAGAACCAACACCACTTTGCTGACCCGAGGCCCCATCTATTAAGACACACTGCAGTGTTACAGGGATTAAGCCATGGCGCGGGCACAGACACAGCCAGCCCTCGTGGTGTAAACCGCCAAGTCCAGAAACAGACGCGGGGTTCGGGACAGGCCTCCCCACAACGGGCCACTCTGGCCTGTGAATGATGTGAGCGAAGACTGCAGGGTCACGATCAACGGCTCCCCCGCCTAAGGAAGCCGCACCTGGGGCCTTGCCCACGCAAGAGTTACTCCCGGAAATAAAGTTTTAAGGATGAGCCACAGAACATCTGCTCTTCTCGTCCTGCAATGACCTCCCCACCCCACCCCCAAGCCCCATGACCTCAGCTCAGACGCCAAACGTACCCCATCTTCCCTTTCTGTCTCTGAACCTCTGTGAGTGTGAGGGCCTGACTCCCATGCAGTGGGTTCCCGTGGGGAAAGGAACGTAGCTGACGCCTCCCAGACCCCGAGTACAGGGCAAAGTAGGTCCACACTGTCCATACGGAGAACAGTGCACTAATTAATAAATATCAGCACAAGAAGAAACTGTTTCACTACTCACAACCGTAAACCTACTTCTGCCCCACCCTGTAGATGTGATATCTTTGTTGTTGTTGTTAATCCTCACCCGAGGATATTTTCCCATTGATTTTTAGGGAGAGCGGGAGAGAGAGGGAAAGACAGAGAACCATCGATGTGAAAGAAACACATCAACTGGTTGCCTCCTGCACGCGCCCTGACCATGGCCCTGGCCCGGGAGGAGCCTGCAACCGAGGTACGTGCCCTTGACCGGAATGAAACCCGGGACCATTTGGTCCACAGGCCGACGCTCTATCCACTGAGCACACTGGCCAGGGCCATATCTAATTTTTAGAAAAGCATCTCATATCCCTGGGGGAATAAA